AATTTATGTCAAAATATTGGAACTTTCAAACCTTAATAACTCAAAAAGTTCTTAATAAAAAAATACTTTATTATAGCGTTTTGGAAAGCTCTCGAGGTCAGCTACAAGAATATGTAATAAAAAATAAGGGACGCCATTTTAAAAAATTGGTGTGACCTTTATGTGACCTTCAAATAATTCTTGAAGGCCAAACCAATGGTACCATCTTATGTCCCCCTCGAAACCATACAACTTTTGTCTGAAACATTTTTGTCTGCTGGGCTCAGTTTTCGAGATATTTTACTGTCCAAGTTAAAATGGGACACCCTGTATATGTCTGATTATGTTTCAATAAATTGTCAATGTCTATATCGAAAATTAAAAATCCATTCTGTTACTTGTGAATAGATAAAAATAAAAATCTCACAATGAAGATTGAAAAAGTAGATTCGACGTAAGACGAGAAATTCATTCGGCTCGATATACAGGGTGAGTCGTAAAGACTGTCCCAACCGTTTACCATAAGAGGTGAATTTCCGACCGCAACTGTAGCTAACTCAAGAAAATATCGATAAAATCTATGAACTATAGAAACATTTACTGTTTTCGATTAGCGTACCTGTTAATACATGTTTGTCTGTCAAGATAGAACCACTACATCGATACTTGTATGTTGAACTATACTCGCTGGTTTTAACTGCATAAATTGCAACCACCCATGGCCACTGGCCTGGTAATGAGTTCGCGCCGTTGGGGATTAGCATATTTGTAGTATCGGAGTAGTAGCTGGTAATGCCGCATTCGGTGTTGCTATTGTAATTCGGATTGTTTATACGATAGCTACTCGAATTTCGATACCACGACTGAAAATTCTGCAATAGTGGTTCTTCGTTCAGCGGGTACACAATATGCCCCAACTCGATGTTGGCTACGATACTTCCATTAGACGCTGAAATAAAACATAATATATCGTCTAACTAGCACGTTCTCGTAAAGTAAGAAAAGAATTTTTTTCCCGAGAATAGAAATATCTTCCAAACAAAATAAACGATTGCTAAATTCTTTTTTACGTAGAAAATATGTATAAAGATAGAAAATTATGTACGTAATAAAAAAGAAATGGTGATTGTTTTATGCAAATTCTAGCTTACCATTTATCTTTACCATATATTTGAAAATTCCACATAGTCGGATGCCAATAAAAGTTAACTTTATGATTTGTGACCTGAACAAATTAATGACGGTGATTCTCGCTTCTATCACCTGGAATGTGTATATCACTTACATTGCATTTCAAGCGAGTACGGTACTCACCTCCGGGACCGAGGCAATATCGTTGATCGTTAAACCATATCGCGGATAACGTCGGAAGACCGACGTCCGAGGGAAAATAAACATGATACAATATATGTCTGCCTTGTTGAATAGCTTCAATAGTCTCATTTATCGAACGTGCCAATTCCAATCGAAATATCCCTTTCTGAAACACAACAATAATTCAGTTATTTCTAGTAAATGGACAAATAACCAAGTTCTCTTAATAATGAGATTAACGAGTACAGTTAGAGGTAAACTTTGAGAGTACAATGCAATTACAATGCATAAATTAATGTTATAACAATCTTTAATGATGAGGTACAATAGTTGAATTTCGCCTTTTCAGTTAACATCAGTGGGATGGTAACATTTGAATCCTTTTACAGTTAAGCTAGTTTATTAATAAATATAATTAAGAGATGACAAATCAAACGAAACTTACAAATAAATTTTGTACATTAACCCTTGATTATTTGTTTCAAACCACGAGTGAACTATATTTTTCACTGTTTTAATAATATCTAGGTATACTAAAAGATTATTTTATATACTTTAATAAATATACAGAAGAGAAATCATTTTGTAAACTTTTTTCAATTATACTTTTATTATTTCAATATGTACCCTTCTTCAAGGTGAAAAGTCGTTTCACTACTTTACATGTCTAATTACAGAAACTATACGACTCTTATTAGAAAAATTTATTTTTAAGAAAGTCTTTGCTCATGGTGCCAAAATTTATTAGAATGTTCTTGTATTAATGCATTCTCAAAAATGTTTAAAAGTATACTTGCCAGAGAATCTGCGGTAGTATTTAAGGCTACTTTTAAATACATTTCATCATTTTCTGGCGGAGAAAGGATTTCAATCCGTCCAAATATCTTGTATGTCTCAGGGTCGATTGCATGTGTGAAGTATTCCGAACATGAAATTGCACCGTGTACCAGAGCATAAAATAGGTACGGCTGTAACGCGATTAGGATAAAAATCTTAGCCATTTTGCGAAATTCTGTAACTAATAAAAATTCATGTTTTCTATAAATAAATATTTAAACACTAACACTCTGTCACTTTTAAGTCGTTTATTCCTTTAAATATGTCTTTTTCACATTTGAGCTATATATTTTTCCACTCAGAAGAAAACTTATTTATTATTATAAAAACGAAACGACAATTAATAATTTTGTTAACAAATTTTTTTTTAATACTATATATAAGTCTGCCGCGACAACGCGGTTATATAGTAAATTCGTAATTACTATTTATACATGCTCGAGCAATAATTTTGGTGTAATAAAATAGATTAGAGAACAGGATCTCGATATAAAATTATATGATTAATTTACCAAGAGATTGGAACAACAGCTGCCTTTACTCTTTGGTTATTTTTCCAGTCGATTACCTAAAAGAGCACTGTATAAGATAAAAAGAGCACTGTATAAGAATTATACTTATCCGCAAATGTATTTTTAGTATTCTAGGAACAGATATGTACATAATGCGCTTTAATTATTTGATAAAACCTATTGTGGCGAGTATTTTAGTCATCGTTTTATTTAACAAGTTTCAAAGTGGGATAGGAATCGACGAAACTCTTACGTATGTATATCTGCTTTTACTTTATTATTTCACTTTATCACATCTCCTTACTGCCATAATAATAACAGTATTATCTTTTATCTTTCACCATTGTAATTATCACATTTAATTTTCTTATCTGTATTTACAATTCTTTTTCACGTATATTCTTATTTATTTCTTATTTATTATATTCTTCTCTCAGATACTCTTGCGAACTATTTAAAGTATTTTTAATATTTGGAAGTGAATATTATATTAGTATATTCAATACTATGTCGACCGATTCCAAATATTCAAAGTGCTAATCTTCAGAGCGGCGTTGTTACGTCTTCGCTGTATCTTCATAAGACTAGTTCTCTATCGGAAGGCTTCGAAACACGTATACATTCCAGTTTTCATGTTGAAAACACGTTTGACTGGTGCAGTAGTGGGGTATCGGAGTCAATAAGTTATCATATAAATCGAGCCATAAAGTTCATAAGCAGTACACAAGTTATTCTATATGAACGTAACAAGGAAAATATGGGATAAGTAATATTGTAATAAGTATGCCGGGGATCATCCGTTTTCCTTGGACGTTTTAGGAGAAAAGAAATTGGGGAATTCGCAATCGCACGTTCAACGAATCAACCGTCTCGGCATCAATCATTTAGTAGAAAAATCAAAGACTTATAATTTATGTTATTGTATAATAATTTTTCATATTTTTAAATGTTTTCTCGTGCATAATTAAAATGCATGCGCTATGTTCTAATAACACATAGATTCATAAACACGCTAGAATAATTACTGCATTCTGGTTATATCATCATATTCAGATAATTTCTGTAGCTGTTTCAGAAAATAATTAATTTTGTAGAATCGATGTTATCAATGATTAAAATTAATGTAATTGTTACGTGATCTCAAGATTATTGCATGATCACAAAATCTCACAGTGATGATACTTGCCAAAGCATTGTTTATTATATAATTTTTCTCAATTATATATTCAATTTTTTAATAATGTCGTAATATATACAGGGTGTCCTGAAATTCGCGAATCAAAATACCATAGCAAGAAAGTCGTCGAAAAAATAAATTAAAAAGTTATTTGCCATTTTTCGTTCCGAGCAGTAGTTTTTTTAGATAAAAAGGTTCAAAACAGTCCAATCATACGGTTGAACGGAAACTTGTCCGTAAGTCGCGCGTCGATAGTGTTAGTGCATTACGACTCACGGACAAGTTTCCGTTCAACCGTAATGCATGATTGGACTGTTTTGAACCTTTTTATCTAAAAAAAACTACTGCTCGGAACGAAAAATGGCAAATAACTTTTCAATTTATTTTTTCGACGACTTTCTTGCTATGGTATTTTGATTCGCGAATTTCAGGACACCCTGTATATACATATAACTAATAATTACGGTAAGTAATTTTTACAATTTTCCTAATTAATTTGTAATATTTTATAATTTAATCGAGTATTTAATATATTAAATTGCATTTTGTTTGTTCTTTGATAGAATTTGTTTTATTAGAATACAAGATTTCCTCTTATTTATATGTACTCATTAAATAAGAATATTACAAATAAGAAGTACCATTAACTATCGAAAAAATTAATGGTTATAATTTTCGCAAAACAAATCTAAGATTAGTTATATTTTTACTTTTTATTTCTATAGCTACATTACAAACATTGATTGTGCTAATAATTGTACTATCTCGAAATTCCCCTCTTTTCTAAGTAAATGTTTCCGAATCTAAAAGATCTAGTAATTTTAGACGTTTAACATTTTCGGTTTTTCCGGTGCTCTCTTTGTCGGGTATTTCATTTGTTGTCAACTTTTATTGATGATTTATTGGCCAGCGTTCTTCTTTTTTAGATCTTCAATAGTCTTTGCGACAATAACCTCCCATTGATCGGGTTGATTTTTTGTATACCATTCCACTATCATATTCATATTTTCCTTTTGTTTCTCAGTGCATCTCTTACATTTGGTCTGAAAAGCTTCACTAAAAAGCTCTGAAATCAAAACAAAAACCTTGACATATTGAATTCAATTCATAATAAGACTATAGTTCTTCCCCCCCTCTCTCTCTCCCTCATTCTTCCTCTCCATAATCTTCATTATGATTAATAAGTAGAAAGAATACAGAAAGTTTTAAGCAAAGAGTATTTAGCAAACCAATATTTATGCAGTTTGAAAATAATAAAATCAAAATCCTCTTTTGGGTCTTATTTTTTAAAACTACAAAATCTATCTCCAAACATCAACGACACTAAATATCTACTTATACTTTCGTTATGTTTGAATGACACAATTTTTGTATAATTTAGTGTCAGTTTTTCTTGGGATAATTTCAAGATACAGAATAATTACAATTTTTGTAATTTTTAATTTTTTTAAATTATATTCCTGGTGACAATTTTTCTCAAAATTTTCATATAATTTTTTAGAAAATTTTTCAAATTTTTTAATACAAATTTGTATACTTTTCAAAAATGCCGAGAATGTTAATATCTTTTTTAAAATTTTTCACACGTATAAATTCTGAAATATTGAGATTTCTCATTCTCTATAATTTCAGACGTAATCTTATAAGATTTAAAAAAGATTTTTAAGAGTTTTCATAAATTATGGAATATGATATTTAGAAATGGCATATTTCAGAATATTCATACATACATATATGTATAATATTAAAAAATTCTAAGAAAAGAAGTGGACTTTCTCAGTATTTCTGAAAAGTGTACTAATTCGTATGTAAATTCTGAGAAAAATGTTCACCATCAGGGATATCTTTCAGACTAAATCTATCTAATGAAAACTGTTCTTTCGAAATTGACTGAGAAATATTATTTTGACATTTTCCTTGTTTCCCATTTATATGCAATTGTTTGATTTCTAATTGATTGTCAAAGGTAAAAATTTATCTGTCGTAAAAATGTTTTCATTACATTTTGTGTGTTGGTATACCTTTAAAGAATTTCGCATCTGCTGTCACGCATGGTGCTGTTTCCATAAAGCAATTGAAGTATTGGGTTCGCAATTTCTCGTTCTCAATAATAGACGCAACATCAATACCGTCGTACTGATCAGAGTAGAGCTCTTCCGCGTAAACGCACACCAGTGCAATACCAATAATCGCCACGATGTAGCTTATTCGAGCCATTTTCTCTTCTATTTTCACGCCAACGCACAAAATACTGGACGATCGATCAAATGTTCGTCTTATTTATATATTGAGCACACGAGAAAAAAGTGTTGCGTGTAGAATAATGATAGACCTTGCAATATTATCGTATGTCTCTAATAGTAAATAAAATTGATTGCAAGAACGTGACTGTGATAATTACATTATTGTTTTTCTCACGCTACAAAACTGATTTTGCAATTACAGCAACAATTTTCTAGATACGAACAAATAACTAAAAGGAATATTTCAGTATTATTAACTGTGTTAGTGTATTTTTTGAGTGTATGTTATATCATATTTTTCCCTAATAATATAATTATATTAATCAGGAGAGACATTTAATAGTTTATTTGATTATATGTATACCTCTTTCTGAATATAATCATATGGCTAATTGGCAATAGCTAATTATGTCTTATGTAATTGTTTTCGTAACACAATAAATGTTTCCGAGTAGAGATGTTTTAGGCGATAAAGTGAGCCACAATCTTAATTACGTAGGTTGGACATGTAATAACTACAAAAAATATATACATATCGACTTGATATAGAGCTGTAGATCATGTTAATCATGTGTTAGATTTAATTAGATAATATATATGAAAACATGAATCGTTTTATGTAGACTTTTATAAATGGATTATATGGCATTTAATCATGTGTTAACAAGAAATAAAAGGCATAAAAAGCATAATAAAATAATGTAAGCCTGATTTATTAAGAAAAAAACATTGTAATCTAATAATTAAATAACAAGAATATTCTTCATGTCACCAGTAGTAATTAACAACTTCAGTGTTTTTATTGACCATATCTGCCATTTTTAATAATACAGAAAATTTATTGCGAAAAATATTACCTCAGCCAGGGCTGCTTTCGCGAGAAGATCAAAATGATCCGGATTAAAATAACCCTGTGCTATGATTGGTCAAATCTGAAATTTCGTAGCATCACATTGAAATTTTATTCAATGAAATTCCAGATTTGACCAATCATAGCACAGGGTCATTTTAATCCGGATCATTTTGATCTTCTCGCGAAAGCAGCTCTGGTTTGAACCTAGACTTCCCTATATACACTCTAGGCGGGCGTCTCTTCCATGCCTCAGCAAGTCGAATTAGAGACTCCCGCCTAGAAAGAAGTCCAGGGTTCAAACCCTGGCTGAGGTAATATTTTTCGCAATAAATTTTCTGTATTATTAACAATGTCAGATATGGTCAATAAAAGCACTGAAGTTGTAAATAATTAAATACTTGAAATAATTCCCTAAATTCGAATAACATTAATTTTAAGAGTAATATTTTTAGTTGGATAAAATCTCCGTTTAAAATTGTTTAAATTTTTTTAATTCTTATGTCATCTTAATCTACTAATTAATATGAACAACTTTTGTTCGAAACATTTTTTATTTTCCTAATACTTTCTGAAATATTCAAGACAAAATTTATAACTTCTTCAATGTTTAGCTTATGATATCTCGATAACTTTGTTGGAGGAAAAAGTAATATAGGACTTTTTTACTTGATTTGCTCTCAGGAATATACTGTTGCAATAGTGCTCCAATTATTGAAAGTTTTTGTGTATGTTACAATGTACAATTAGTTAAAAAATATTTTTGTCAACTCTTCAATTTGTATGTAGTTTACTTTAATATATTAAATTGTTCTTGTATTCAATATTTCCATTTGTTTAGACATTTATGTATATAAATATTGCAAGCATGTAGTAAAACGCGCAGTCTGACTTCTTTTAGTATCCAAAGGTTTTTTTAATGAGGGGACACTGCGCACTGTCCTTTGTCTTCCTTACTCTCTTCTGTCCAAATTTTTTTGACCATGTCCGCAGCCGCAATCTGGGTACCTATCATGGAAACGTTCGGAGAATTGTTCAATTATTTCCTAGATATCTATTGTGTTTTCTAGGAGAAACGAAACAATTCCGATCGGAATCCATTCCGAACATTTCCATGATAGGTACTCTAAATGACGTCACTATCATTCGCCCCTTCCACATCTTGTAGTAACCGTGACCGAGGTCTCTCGTAAATACCTACGTGCCATTCCCACTAACAGTTACACAACATCAATATTATAATTTTCTACTCAACGATGTAGCTATTATGTGCACGTATATGTTTATATTATCGAATGGCAAATTATAATAATGATGTTATATAACTATTAGTAATACTGGTTTACTGGAAAGTTATTGTACGCGACTGCATCATATTTCCAAGAAATTGTACCTTAGAACCTTAAAATCGTACTGTATTCACTCCGTAAAACCGTTAAATGTTTATCCATAAGAATATAAATACAAATTAATTTCAGATTCATTCCTTCGGATTCCCAAGTACACGAATAGGTGCATTTATAGAGTAAGTAAAAATATCTTTTTTCCGAATACAAAATCACGTGTAAGAAAATTTAGTTTTTATTGTGGCCTTTTAAGTTTTTATACTCATGCACTATGTTTTCTGCTTTGGCAAAAGCTTGCAAGAAATCATCCTCCTCCAAGCCAAATTGTTCATATTGATGCAGGAAAGCTGCGCACTTATAAGAGCCCCATGCTTTGTCTAGATATACGTCTAATGGCCGGTGTATTTCTGAATTATTGCTGACCAACGCGAGGAACTTGTCTCGGTTCAGAAACCTACGTTCTTGATGCAAATGTGTGAAGGAATTCACGACAGTCCATTCTGGGTATAGACGTCTTTCCTGCAAATCTTCCAACGTCACAACATCGTTCTCCGTAGACCTGCCGCGCGTTATCAAAACATTGGACACGCAAGGGCTGTACAAATGAGGGCTACACGTTATCGTTTTGCTCAACGTGGGATTCGGTGCCTTTAATTGGACGTTTGTCAACTCCGCTTGCGACCTCGACACTCGCAGAGTCTCTTTCAAATGACGTATGTACACCTCCCACTTGTGCGTGGGTTCGTACTGCAGAGACGACGCAGGGGTGTGCGGAGTACTCCTGACCGTTACAAATCTAAAATTGGGATGCGCAGCCGTTTTGGATATTAAAAAATTCGCGCTACACCGGGCATTGTCGCTCGGCTGGAAAACGGCGAGCAGATTCTCTGAAATGATGCTGTTCACGTCGCGCAACGTGGCGTTAGAATTGCCCAACAGATTCGTACATATCGAGTGCATCCGCTCGTTCTCGAACAACACGGAGAGGTCCGCCCTGTCCGAGAACTTGGCCAGGGTCAGTACAGTGTTGTAATTCTGGGTACAAACTTCTCCAAACGTAAACGGCAGCACGATCGCGGCGATGATTGCTTTAGTTTCGTACTCCTCTCGCAGGAGCTCGACCACGCGACTTCCTACGCCAGATCCAGTGCCGCCGGCCGAGCTGAGCAGCAGGAGGAACCCCTGGGAACGATCAAGCTTCTCGATCTCCTGCCGCGCGACGTTCAGCACGGCGTGCGATAGACAGCGACCGCTCATCGCGTAGCCGTAGGCCCAGTTGTTGGCGGAACCGCCGCCCGCCTGGCAGACGACGTTACCCGTTTGATAGACCCACGACGCGCCCGCGTCCTTGCACACCCCGCTCACGACCTTCTCCTCGGTGTCGACGAGAATCGCCTTGGCGTAGTGCCGGCCGCATCCCGCGATTCCGTCGAACCACCTCTCGATCGTGTCCTCCGCATACTCGTAATTCATGCCGTAAGGCACGCCGGTGTTGGAGCTTCCCAGGTCGGCGGCCACCTTCGAGAAGAGCTCGCGCCCGAGTTGATTCCCGCATTGCCCGAATTGCAGCGTCAGCATCTCCGGGTGGTGCCTTCATTCAGACGCGACACTGCCATCAATGAACTGTCATGCGTGGAGCAAGCCTGGCGTAAGTAAGAGAGAACCATAATTTTTAGCCTTTGGTGTAAAGAAGCCAAAATACAGGCATAATTTTTTAAATACTTGTAAAGCGTCGTCCACAATGTGTAAAGTAAGCTTGGAATAAGAAGTAAGAGAGAACCATAACTTTTAGCTTTTGGTGTAAGGGAACTAAGATACAGGCATAATTTTCAAAATATTTATAACACTGGCCAATGGCGTTCTGATTCACCAAGAGTAAGATTTATTTCCTCACTCCAGACTTACTCCACGCATTGTAGACGACGCACACAATAGACGAAGCCTGGCCCTGATGAAAGTAGAATTTGGAGCGTAAATCGAGTGTAAGGGGAGGGTGACAAAAGCGTAAACGAAATGCGTAGGAAACGTAATTTGGAACAGCGAAGCGTAAAAGAAGCGTTTGAGGTTTCCTACACATTTCGTTTACGCTTGTGTCACTCTTTCCTTACGTTCGATTTACGCTCCAATTTTTAGTTTCATCAGGGGGCTCTGACGCTTACTCTCGGCGAATTATTGCGCAATTCGACCAGTGCTACAAATATTTTTTAAAATTACACCTGTATTTTAGCCTCTACGCTAAAAGGTAAAGGTTATGGTTCTCTTACTTCTTACTGCTCGCTTCCAACGTAGACGGTCCTTAATTAAATACGATTCGCAGATGAAGGAGATATCGGAGTGGCGTTAGCCAAGGAGCAGTCTCGACTTCCGAAAATCAGGTTGACTCCTGACAGCGCCTGTCTTCGATCGAAGAACAACGCCGGGGACAGTCGTGACATTCACCATGTTTACATCGGCGTCGTCGCTTCCCGCCAAAACTGCTCTGCCCACGTGCCGTACTGCCGTCCCGGAAATACCATCTCCACTTTCTGCACTTCGATCACATGAGGAGTATCTGTAATCAAATATGTTAACTTATCGTGATTTAGCTTACTCCTTGTATTTTTTCTCAAAATTTTTAAAGCTATACAGGGGATCGATTCTGTATCTTACACTATAGCGAATAGCTTTGTCTCCTTCTAACTGTCCCCTTACAAAGAGGCAAAGCCGCTCATTTTTAGCTTCGA